TGGAGGCCATTGCTACTAGGTTGGAGGCCATCGCTACTAGGTTGGAGCCCATCGCTACTAGGTTGGAGGCCATCGCTACTAGGTTGGAGGCCATCGCTTCTTGGTGGAGGCCATCGCTACCAGGTTGGAGGCCATTGCTATTAGGTGGAGGCCGTCGCTTCTAGGTGGAGACCATCGCTACTAGGTTCGAGGCCATTGCTATTAGGTTCGAGGCCATCGCTACTAGGTTGGAGGCCATTGCTGGAGGCCATCGCTATTAGGTTCTCTCTCTCTCTCTCTCTTGCTCCCTCTCTCTCTCTCTCTCCCTCTCCCTCCCTCCCTCCGTCCCTCCCTCCCTCCGTCCCTCCGTCCCTCCGTCCCTCCGTCCCTCCCTCCCTCTCTTTCCATCTTTCTCTTTACTATATCCTTATCGGGAAAGGACGCCATGTGACAAAGACCCTTTGGTGCACATTTCACGTGTAGTAATTAGAGGTAATACATGGCACATGCAGTTTTCAGAGCTTTAGACTGCCAGGGAGAGAAGGGCTGGGACAAGCTGGGCTCAAGAGAAGGCCTCACTGAAAAGGACGCCGACAGTTCAACGACATGCGAATTCGGTCGAATTCTCTTCTTGGTAAGGTGATTGATGTTGTTTTCCTTCTGCTTGCCCGCCGTAGATGGGCTTGTAGATGCCAGGAACGTCACTTCGTCTTGAAAATGGGGACTGTCCAGAGGGAGCAAGTGAACCAATTGGGCTGTTGAGAGAGATCTCAAGAACCACCTCGAGTCAGATATGCAAGACATGGAAGGGTCAACCGTTTCCAAGCAACCTTCGAGGGTGCACTTCCTTCTTTTTGCACCAATGGTGAGCTTGTAGATGCCATGACAGTGCCTCGGGGTGAGATGCAACATCGAATGGAACACACATTCACAGCTGCGACGATACCTGATGACCTCATGTCAGAAAACATCAAGAATGGAGTTGATCCGTTGTTTGCTTACTTCCGCATGATTTTTTTGGGTTACGCATCAAGATCGTCAAGGCGATTCATTTGTGGACTCTCACGACTTCGCTCTCTTCAGCAAAACCACTTTGGTGCGCTCTCCCCGCTCTCTCGGGTTGGTTCACCATTGGATGTCGCAAGCAGCCCCAGGAGTTGCGCGAGTTCGAAGAGATCCAGGCCTCCTTCGAGCAGTTCCGAGTTCGACAGAGTGAGGCGGGGACGAGCACCGGACCGAGGTCCACCGAGGTCCACGAGCGGAGGGGAAGGGGGGCGAAACCTGTTTACCTGGTGGGTTGGACTTGGTGGGATGACCTGGTGCGCTCTGAGTCCATTCTGGAAGTGGAAAAACACCCTGTTTCATGTGGTTTTAAGGAGCCTGTGAGATCATGTGAGTATGTTGAACACAGCGAGGAGTTGGGAAGAACATGCATGGCTGCATGGCACACTGCAGAAACAGGAATGGGACGGTTCTTCCTTTATATATCCTTTGGATCACTCTTTTGCAAAATGGCATGAACGGTAAGCCCGGTAAGAGATGGAAGAATGACAGACACTTGAATAATTCCAGGTAAACCAACAGTTGTTTTTTTCTGGGCGAACATGCGGTGAGCGTTGGGCCAACGAATTCATGCATGTTCGATTGCGCGGTTTGTCCTTGATACTCGTACCTTGAGATTCTCTTTTTTGTGCATCATAATAAATGTGCTCCTGGCCTTACTACCAGGAACAAGAAGTTACTAGTAAGTAACAATGGGCATCGCTACGAACGGAGCATGGGACGCTGCTAGATCTACTAGGCTTCCGAAGCTCCCCACCAGACGCTCCGGTCGACCCCGGGCAGTTGTCGGGCCGCCTCCAGGTGGAGCGTTCGGTGAGCAGTTTGCTGCAACGGCTCAACCGAAAGATCCAAGTGCCCAGGCCGGACCGGACCCACAGAGAGCGGTGGCAGCGGGACACGAGCGTCGCTGCGAGGCGACACCGGTTCGCCTGTCGATACCGGTCCGGGTCGGCCGAGACGGACGGAGTGGGTTGGTAGAAAACCCAATGAAGCCAACCCGCAAGGCCAACCGATTGCCGGACGAACCGCCGAGTTTCAACACACTCAATGTTCCAATGCTCTGAACTCCGTTGTGTCCAGCGGCGATGCAGCTGGTAGAAGGTGGTGGGCCCAGTGGTCGTTCTGGCCCTTCCAAGTCGGAAGGAAACCACTAGGCAACTACCTAGCCCAGTGGACAACTGCCTAGTGGTCGTTCTGGCCCCGGACAGGAACCTGGAAAACATGGAAACCACCTGTCCCAAACCAGACCAAACCGCCTCCCGCCTCGTGCTCGCATGCTCTTCTCAGCCATGAGCCCGTCTTTTGCAACCCTAAAAAAAGACCTGATTAAGACCTGGACATGCTGATGAGATCTTTCATACAAGTTCACACGACTTGAGGAGGTAAAGGTCAGACTGGACGAACGTAAGGATATGACAGACTGGCTTGTATGGCTTCTCAGAATCTCGGCCTAGGCGGTAGGGCAGACGCCCTACTGAACCTACGCAGGGCATGCATGAGAAACGGACAAAACCAGGAGTACTCCATCCAACAGTCTAATACTTGTACGTCCAAACGCCTCACTTGACCTATAAGAAATCGAAACAAACAACGAAAAACATCGAGCTGCGAGAGCTGCGCTTCCTCCTTCCGGCCTTCCAACGGCCGCGCCTCCAACGGCGCCTGGGGCTGTTCCCACTCTGCCCAGTTCGGTCGCGTCCTCCGAGTGCGGCGACGTGTCGGATGCCGAATCCTTGGGCCGAACGGAGGAGCGGCGCGTGCGCGAGAGCGGAGTGCGTGGGAGAAGTCGTCACGTGGTGGGGAGTGCGTGGTATTAGAGGGGTGTGATGTTCAGACTCCAAGGCTGCCCAAAGAGGAGACACTCGATGTAAAGCTGGAAAAGGTACCTAAATTTTGCTATTCGATCCTAAATGATCCTCAAGTTGCTGATATGATCCGACGTGACATTTTGGTGGTCAGTCCCTCAATGAGATGTAGCCAGTCCACTAGCATAAGTTAGCTCAACTATATACCACCCTGGTAGATCTGGTAGGGCATCGGATATATCGGATGCAGACTCACCCTTCCACAGGGCCAAAGGATCGCCAGGACAACACCTACCATCCGACCATCTGGGTCACCTGGCTGGACTACCCTCCACTCTCCGGGATCTCCAGCTAGGACACCCCGACAGGATGCTTCAGGTATTGGATCCATTCTTCTCATTTCTTCTCCACGTGTCGCTGATGCATCGGAGGGGTCGAAGGAGCGAAACAGTCTCCCAACTTCCCCGGCCTGGAGCGACGTACCTTGGAGCCCGGCCCCTCGAGCAACGTACGTAGGGAGTTCCACGAAGAACACAAAAAAGGCCACAGCGACCCGCCACACACGTCCATGTTCCTTTTCTCCATCTGGTGAACATGGGGGTTGCTATCTCCCCCCGGTGGTTTTGCCGAAATGGTCACCTCTCCAGACTTGCAGGATGGGCTCAGCTTCATGGACAGTTGTTTGGGATCCAGGTGCCGAGCACAGGATCTTCCAAGTGCACAGGTACATCTTGAGCCATCGAAGTTTCTACAGGAGTCTTGAGCAGTAGGTCAGTAGGTGCTTCGCATCAATGACTTGAAGAGGGATCGGATCCGTCAATCGTGGCAGGGTCGGCACACCTTTGAATGGAAACTCTCCATTAGGGCGGGTGCCTGAGTTGCTATTGCTAGGGCTTTCAACGAGACCCTTGTTGCCTGCTTTTGGCGTGTGGGTGCAAGGGGCCAAACCTTTCGCACTCTTCTTGGCTTGACAGAAAAGAAATTCCCGGGGGGACAGAAAGGGTTTGGCAGTGCCTTTTTGGAGCAGACCGTGACATTTTTTGTGGTCAAACAAACTGTCTGAATCGATGGACTTGGATTGGTCCGGAGAATGGGTACATAGGACGCAGGATAGCTCACGCTTCTTCAAGGAAGCTCCCCGCCGCCTTTAGGAGCTTCCGTGAAGAAGCGCTCGCACTATTCATTTGGTTCCTAGATTTTTTTGGGGAACTTAACTAATTGCATATATACTGTTTTTGTTTTTGTATGGATATATCTGTGCACTTTGTACACTTTATTTAAAAATAAGTACATGAAGATACCAGCATCATGTATTGTAGAAACATACTATGCACACACACGCAATATATATATATATATTAAACAGGAAGCTACGAACGGGGCTCCTGGCCTTACTAGGGGCTCCACTCCCCAAAAGCTGGATGTCCGGGAGTGCCTGGCTCTGAGGTCGCCCCGGGACCGACCAGGTCAGCCGTTGGTCCGGGGGCCCTGCCGTTCGTGAAGAACGGTCTGCACGGTGGTTTCGGCCCTGCCCTCCACCATTCCACCGGTATTGGAAAGGGTATACCCAATGAATAGTACCAGCTTTATGACTGAAATGGGGCCAGATGTCGTGGGGTTGGACATAAAAGGGGGTTGACGTCGCCCGCTCTAGGCCGCAAAAAACATCATCGTGAGCAGTCTTGAGGCAGTGTAGCTTACAACGAGTCAGAAAAGAGCCATCCCATACTAAACGTCAAAAACCGATGGCCCTTGGCCGCCATGGCCTCCCATGCCCTCCCATGTGCACCAGTCTAGAGGCCTGGCCATCCTGGATCCCTTCCAGACCCTCCATCCAAGAAACATAAAGGTTTTGGTGTAATGACCATCCTCCACTCAGCCAAGAGGCCAAAAAATGAAGACCACTGGTTGACTGCAGTAGAGTGAGGGTGAAAACCACCCCAAGACCACTGGCTGAGGATGCCGCAGTCGGTTCGGTTCATTTTTGGCAACAGTTCGTGTCAGAACAGTTCCTTCCATTGTGCACTTGTTGGTTCTTCCTAGCTTTGGGCCCTTCTGATTGGGCACTGCTTGGACGACATCACGCCGAGATGCCTTCCATGCCTTCGATGATGCCTTCCAATGCTAGTTGCGGGAGTGGCCCGTGGTCTCAGAATGCGATCTACGATGATTTCATCCGTCCAGTTGGTCCATGTCTGGGATTCGACGGAACATCCATGTCCTTAGATTCTCTAATTCGGAACATCCAGGAAGAAGCATCATGTTGCAAAAGCATTGATAAAAAACAACACATTTAGGCCCGGCGCTTATTGATCAAGTACTTGAAGGGTCATGTGTCCTTTACCCCTCTAGTCTGCCCAGGTATGAGTGATCATGGGCGGCGCCTTGACGGTCTGGCACTCAGACCAGGTGTGGTTGAAGGTTGAAGAGGTATATGCCTCGAAATGAAGAAACACAGAAGATAAGTATTGCAGCATATTGCAGCATTGCTCGGTCAGAGTATGTGAACAAGGTGAGGATGGCTAGCATGTTGAGGGACACCCAAACCAAACCCTGCCAGGTGACTGGACTATATACTTGACAGATTTCGCAAAACCAAAAACTCCAAGACTTGCATCCGTCTCATTGGAGACCTCGCAAGGGTTCTGAAGTGGTGCATGGGAGTTCTGGCTTGGAATCATCTCCAAATCTGCCACCAACACCCACAAATACCGAGGCTTATATAAAGCTTATATGAAAGGCTCTCTTTCCCGCAACGCCCACCGCGCTTCGTCATCGGCCCCACGACCCCGCGCCACGCCACTGGCACCAAGTCGAGGCACCAATCCGAGGGGGAGCGAAAGTGGGGACCTTCGGCCGACTCGAGCAGTCAGGGTCTCAGAAGGCTTAGACACAAAGGTGCACAGAGAGACACACCCTTGAACTGAAAACCATTCTGAGAATGGGGATTCATGCAAGTGGCGCCGTCCTACGGCAGTGGCGTCGTGGCGCGCCATCCGATTCTGCACTGTAGGGGCCCCTGGGTCGGTCGAATCGGATTCTGACAGCGCAACCAGAGCCGAGTCTGCTGACAGCATGGGAGTGCAAGCAGTGCAAGTCGCAGAACGCAGCTTCTGCTGACAGATGAGCAGAGTGCATACCGACACTGGTCAGCAGACGGTCGCCAAACAAATCCGAAAGCCCAAACCTGTGCGTCGTTCAAGAAAGATCAGCCGAAGCTCGGTGTAGGCACTCCTCGGTGGCCATGGCGGACTTAATGGAACTTGCACAGCAGTTCGGACTGCCAGAGCATGTGCTCTCAGTGTTTCGGGACAAAGGTGTCACAAGCATCAGCACTTTGGTGAAGACCTTTGAAGATGATGAACCTAATCCGCCTGCGATGTTTTTGTGTATTTGTTTTTAATTTGTGGGGCGATCAGTGGCGGGATCATCCGAAAAAGCCAGGTAGCTTTCATTTGTTTGGTAGATCTTTCTGAATTGGCAGATCAACATTCAGTAAGGAGCAGTTTGCGGACTTTGTCGCTGAAGAAGTGCAAAAGAAGACCGGCTCTGCATCCAAGCGCTTGCGGTTGGCCTTGAAGATGGTTTACATGGACGCGGTGCAAAAGGCCCGCAGCCGGAACATCAGGCCAAAGATGTCCTCCTCCCCGGTCTCCTCATCAGCAACAAGTAGAGCAGAGTCTGAGAATGGGGAAGAGGAGGAAGAAGCCTTCGAAGATGAGGAAGACATCCCACCGCCGCCACCACCCCCACCACCTCCACCAGAGGGTCCTGCATGGCGACCATGAGATTTGAGGAGCCTGATTTCACACCAATGTTGTGTGGCGTGGTTCAGTTTCACGTGCAGAGCATTGAATCCGATGCTTGCGAGCATTGCATTTGGCAAAAGTCATGCCAAGCACCTTTTGGTAAAGCCGCTGCTCATTGATTCTTTGTTGAGACATGCCATCTAATGCAAATGCTGGAGATCTTTCAGGAGTGACTTCTTTCTCACGCGTCCCGGGTCAGGCGGTTCCTGAGCTTGAGGGACCTTCGATTGAAGCCGCCAAGCGACAGGAGAGGGAACGCACGTTTACCGTCAGAGTGAGGTTGACCGCAAGCAAGGAGTTGGGAGGCTAAACTCAGGTGTTCAGAGAACTTCTCGGCTTCAGAATTTCTGTATATGACCAGCTTCAGTGGAACACCAAGCTTCTTACGTAAGGCATAGTTGTCCTGGGCTTCTCGTCAGTCCCATCATTAAGACATTCCATAGAGACTATATAGCATGCCAACACTCTGCTCTCACTCCATGATTTCTTAGACTGTAAGGTGTAAGCAGCAGTGCCCCCTCAACTGAACAGTTGATACCAATCCGTTCATGATCTGATGGAGGATGGGGTGAAGCATGTCATGGAGCATGGGGTGAAGCATGACATGCCAGGATGATCTTTTGCCTGTAAATGAGTGTGAGAATGGGACGAAGGCCTGCGTTTACAGTCTCGATACTTAGCAGTTTACAGACCTGCCTGCTCCTTTAAAGGAGCCCAGATGCCATTGTTTCACTCATCTTGAAGAACAAGACCAGAAAAGACAAACCATAGAAAGACTTGAACTTCCTCCTTCCTTCTCCTCCTTCCTCCCCCTAGTAGCTATGGCCTCCTTCCTTCTTCCTTCTGTGCCCCCCATGCTCGTTGCAAAGGCGATGCCCGGGGCCGGCTGTGCCGTGCCCTCCGCCCACGTGGGCGCGTCTCAGGTGCCGTTCCCTGTGCTACTCTCGTTGCGCCAATGAGACAGTTACGTTCGTAGCTTCTTGTTACTAATAGCGATGGCCTCCACCAAGCATAGCGTCCTTGTTACCAAGTCTTCATCAGCCTATATAATATCCATAATCGTTTGGACGTTCGGATGTTTGGTTCATTTCGATGTTCGGTTTGTCGGGTGGCTTCTTTGGACCCTTGGGGGGGGGCTAGACATCGGTTCCGGTTTCGGGGCCATATGAAGAGGATTTCCAATTCAAATGGGAAGGCTTATTGATCAAGAGTCTACATTATTGTGGCATTTCGGAATTGAGTGTCTGACGGAATTGGGTTGGTGATCTCAGGGTCGGTCGGCCGATTTACCTCCGTTCTGGGGATGGGTGCAGCTGATCCCGGGTGATCGCTATCTGAACTGCGAAGATGGACAAACCGCCAAAGCCGCGGGACGTAGGAGTCAAGATCTCCACGCACCGAGGACCTCCACGTGAAGAATTTTTCGAAATAGAGACAGCACTCGAACAGCCACTGAAACACCTGCAGATGAACGGCCATGTTGCAAGGTAGACAATGAGCTGCCAAGCATCGCACCAGAAGAGGCCCAAACAGACATGAGTCGATCAGTTCTTTGAATCGCAAACGCAAGCCGAGCCAAACAGACATGCTGGACGGGTTGCCAAGGGATGCCAAGGGTTTTTGAAGAAAGCGCTTGGATGAATTCCCACTCTTTTGGATGTTCCACTTTTGCCGCATTGTGTTGGTAACTGTTGAGGGTCTTTCTGGGTAGCTGTCCATCTATGCAGGAGCTGGCCACCGCTGGGCCTGAGCGGTCTGGGCCCTCGGGGGGGCGCGTGAAAACGAGACAACAAGGTCGGGCGAAACGAGACGGATCGTTCGGTGCATGTTTCATCGCTGAGTTGTCTCATGTTGTCTCCAAAGATCATATTTGAAACAGGCAGGATTCATGTTTCATCGCGTGTGTATTTTATAATCTGTGTTTTCTCTGGTCAATCAAGGTGATTTGGATGGTTGAGGAACTTGCTTTTGAGTTATGGAGAGAATACGAGTGTGCTGCCGCCTCAGGAGAGAGGTACCGAGCCCGGCCTTCATGCAGGACGGGCCTTGTCAAAGACTAGTAGCCCCAAGGTGCCAACTTGGGGGCTTCGAAGCTTCTGAAGTGCCAGCATGTGTGCCCTTTCCTCTGAAGAAGCCCCCTTGAAGATGTCCAAAGTCCCTGAATGCTCAAAGATCCAATGATCCAGATCCTGTTTCTTCTCAGTTCACGGATGACCTGACTCCAACCAACGCGGCCTTTTCTCTTCAGGACAATCACGTGTCAGAGCCAGAGGTGAGGACTCTGCTATGCTTCCTTGTGACAGTGTGGCTGTTACGATTTGCAGTACCCAACCGCTCACAAGCAGTGAAGTCAATACACACACAAAAACGTATATATATATATATATAAAATATACAATTAATGTGTGTTTGACCTCGAAAATCAATCCTCTCCCAAACCAACATTTTCCGACATCTTAACAAAAGGAAAACACGGGGAGTGCTGATCAACCTATTGCCTTACTGGGAACAAGAAGCTACTAGGGGCTCCTGGCATCGCGACTAGGAGCAAGGACGCTACTAGGGGCTCCTGGCCTTACTACTAGAAACAAGAAGAGATATGTTACGTTGCCGAATTTGGCAGGCCCTGCCTGCTGCGGCATCTCCCTTGGGCTCGGGGACACTCTCGCCAATGAGGCAGGCCTTGAACGGGCCTCGAGGTGGTACCAAGCGCAGTGGTAGGTCATAAGACTTGAGGGATGATGCGGAAGACAATTCATACAGCACAAGGCCTCCCCACAGGCATATATATATATATACATTAGTGTTAAATAGTTTTAATATGTATTTATTTGTTTTCTCTCACAAAGCTCAGGCAGAAAGGGAGCGTTTTGAGGGACTTTGAGCCAAGTTACAGGTTGCAGTAATGGAGACCCAATCCATTGCATGACCTAAGATTTTGAACAACTGTGATGTCTGACTGCGCTGCCAGTCCTGTTCAAGAGCACTACGTGGATCACCAGAGGCCCGGTGAGCTGCTCTTTTTCGTTACCAAACAAGGGTTGGCAGCTCTTCCTCAGTGCTGACGCCCTCAGGTTGCCGCAGTTTGGCGGTCCGGGTGTCTGCGATGAGGCGCAGAGCCTCGATCTTTTTCGCACCGGCCAGTCATCGAGCATCCGGTGTTTTTCAGCTCCAAAGGAGAAAGATCCTCCCCCAAGTCTCCAACGCATCGCTTCGAGCGCCCTCCAAGTCTCTGTACCAACCAGCGCATGGCCGATCCAGGAGATGGAGCTTGAGAAAACCGATCCAGCCGAGGCCGGAACGTGGCGCGGGAACGCCGCTTGTTTGTGCCACTGACCGGTGGTTCAGGCAGAGGCACCCGACTTCGCCGGCTGGTACGGATGGACCGTGGTGGAGCACTTATACTGTAGCTCTTGGAGAAGTTGCTTTGATACTGAAAAACCAGTGGGTGTTGAGTCTGAAGTGTGACCCCCCTTTACCGGTGCACCACAGGCTTTAGTTGAGTTTCACAGACTCAGCTGGCCGGCTTCGTTGGCCTCTACGACCGGTCTTGGCGGCCGAAACCGCGCCGAAACGCCGAGGTGGCGACCAGTGAAGGGCGACTGTTCTTTTTCCATGAGGCGCTCAGTTTCGGGACGAGCGTGGTGACGAGATGGGATTCAACCCGATGTTCAAGACCGGTTGCTTCAGAATGGACAGGCGCAACGAGAAGCCACCGGGGTAGATGACAAATCAATGAAGACTCAGCGGCCGGGGGATTTACTTTATGATTTAAATTTATAGGAAACCCATTTGTTGCGGCTGCAGCTTCTTTTCATGCCTTTGGTTTTGTTCATCATCTCTTTGAGCCTGTAGGCTCAGCAAGTGTCTCAGTGGCACCAGCCCACTGACTTGAACTGCATCCTCGGAGTTTGGAAGGAGGTGCCGGTCGAGGGGCAGCGTCGCATCTTTGGAACATGTTGGCCTATTCCGGGGAATCCATTGCTGTGAATTAATTGAGCATGTGACTTCTTTGAACATGTAGATGTAAATGTAGTAGAAGTAGAAGTAGACGTAGAAGAATAAGTAGTAGTAGTAGTAGTAGTAGTAGTAGTAGCAGTAGCAGCAGGAGCCGTAGCAGTAGCAGTAGCAGTAGCAGTATAGTAGCAGTATAGTAGCAGTAGTAGTAGTAGTAGTAGTAGTAGTAGTAGGAGTAGTAGCAGTAGCAGCAGGAGCCGTAGCAGTAGCAGTAGCAGTAGCAGTAGCAGCAGGAGGAGTAGTCGTAGTCGTAGTCGTAGTCGTAGTCGTAGTCGTAGTCGTAGTCGTAGTCGTAGTCGTAGTCGTAGTCGTAGTCGTAGTCGTAGTAGTAGTCGTAGTAGTAGTAGTAGTAGTAGTAGTAGGTAGTGGTAGTTAGTAGTTAGTAGTTAGTAGTTAGTAGTTAGTAGTTAGTAGTAGGTAGTAGGTAGTAGGTAGTAGGTAGTAGGTAGTAGGTAGT